CTTAGAGTATTTCCAGAGATAACAAAGACAATGATGTTAAGGAAATTATCAAATAAATAACAAGAAAATTTGCTATGAAGAATGAGCTTCTAGATTGAAAGGCCTCACCAAATGTACAGCATAATACATATCAGACATCATCGTGAAATTTCATAATATTAAGAATAAAAAGATAATCTTAAAGCTTCTGAGAGAAATAAGGAAGAGTGAAAACAGGTTGCATCACAGGATCAGGAATAAGAATGACTTTGGATTATTCAACACCAACAGTGGAAACTAGAAGACAATGTGCCATGTCTTCAAAATGCTGAGGGAAAATGATTTTTAACCTAAATTTATATACTGAAATAATCAATCAATAGTAAAGATAGAATAATGACTTTCAGACATGCAAAATCTCAGAACTTTACCTCCTATATACCTTTCTTAGAAGCTACTAGAGGATGTGTTCCACTGAACGAGTAAACTAAGAAAATGGGAGTCCTAAGATTCATGAACTGGTGGTGCCAACGCATAAGAAAGGGGAAAGAAATTTCCAGGAACATGAAAAGTGAGCTCTTAGCACAATAGTTGTGCAGAAGACTTAAGTAGCAAAAAGTTTAGATTGGAATAGGAAGAGGACAGAGAGTCTCAGGAAAAGCAAATGAAATTGATAAGGGATTTAACAGGTTTTATCATGTATAAAATTGTTTTGAGAGGATTCTGTAGCTTTATCAGGCAGTATGGAAAGACTTAGAAATTTAAATTATGGTAAACAAATTTAAAAATACAGCAATTATGAACTCCAGTAAAAATAAAAATTATATGTAAAATGAATTATTACCATAATATACCACGTGGATCAGCTATGAATTATATTTATATAGGTATAATATTAAAAATACTAAATATAAAGATTGTGACATAACTATATTGAGGGTTTGAAGAAAGATAAGGAAGTATATGAAATAACAATTCTCAACCATAAAAGGAAATCAATGAATAATGTCCAAAATTGATAAATCAAGAGACCAGTAGCAGCATGCTACTTAGAAACATAGGAGTAAATACCAGAATAAAGACTTAAAAGACATGAAAGTGTTACTTCTGATGAAAAGTGGAGGAAGACCTAGGAACTGCTTTGTTGGTGATACAAACCTTTTAGCATTGCTTGACTTTCACAATTATATTCATTTATCACTTTTATAGTTTTTCATTTGTTTTACTTTTTAAAGAAACAGGGGGATAAAAGAAATAGCTTTCAAACCATTGCTATAGGCAATATAGCCTTTGTATAGACATTTAAATTGTGCTGTAAGTTATTGGGCAAAGCAAAAATATATCTACATTTTTCATACATCTGTTTAATCATTTACTACCTGTCTCTCTCACTAGAGCTTAAGCCCCATAAGAGTAGGAACAAGTGATGTGCTAGTAAATGCTTAACATCTCCATGAGAAGGAAAAAAATTCTTGTAACATTTACCAATTTCTGTGGTGTAAATATTCTCAATGCCTGATTTCAAGCTACCATAATGATGCCACTAACACTGAGTTCAGAAAAGATGCACACAATTGGCTTTTTGTTTGTTTTGTTTTTTTTTTTTTTCAATTACAGTTTACATTGAATATTATTTTTATTAGTTTCAGGTGTATATCATAGTGGTTAGACAATCATATATTTTACAAAGTGTTCCCCTCAATGTTTTCAGTACCTACCACAAGATTTTTGTCAGTTGTATGTTGCATACACTTGGCTTTTGTGGATTGGCTCCAACAATTTGCACGCAACTGGCAAGTCACCATCAATCAATAAGATCACTCTGGCCCCAAGGGGAAAAAATGGAAAGGAAGGTAGCTGTGAGCTAGGCACTCTGCTAGGCACTTTACACATGTTACTTTGTTTAATCTCCGCAGTAATCCTAGAAGATATAGATCACTAATCCATTTTACAGATGGGAAAACAGAGACTCAAAAACATTTAGGTAATTTAACCATTATTCATACACCTGAAACTAATAAAAAATAATACTAAATGTCAACTGTAGTTGAAAAAAAGTCTAAGTAACTTGCCCAAGAATCACTACTAGTAAGAATGAGAGCTGAGTTTACCCAAATTTATCTAACTCCTTATCATATGCTCTCTCTGCTGTACCAGCTGCCTTCAAAAATACCTTTGAGCAACATAATTTAGGAATGGGGGTGGGGAATCTTTGTTTATCACAAATGAGAATATAATTGTCTCACTCTTTATCATTCTTTGGTTATGAAGGTAACGCTTAGGCACCTGCAAAGCGGAGGTGGAACTGCATCTAAACAAGTTTTTTTATAAGCTTTGGAGTCTTTTTTTTAGCTCTATTTCCTTGTCTAAAGCTGAGTACAGGCTGCCTAGCAACCAAGCTAATGGCATTTTTCTTTTTTTTTTTTTTTGGTCTTAATTACCTTTTCCGCAAGCTCCAAGAGATTGGATCAAATATTAAGAGAAAGTATGAGTTTTTTGCATCACAATATCTGCTCATATATATGTACAACACACACACACACACACACACACACACACACTCCTCCTTCCCTACATTCAGTGATTAAAATACAAAGACAAATCTCAGAGGGAAGGTGGGGAGGTGGGGTGGGTGGGGAGAGATTAACCAGGGAATTTATATGCATATATGCATAACCCATGGACACAGACAATGGTGTGGTGAAGGCTTGGGGGGGCAGATGCGGGGCTGAGGGGGTCAAAGAAGGGAAAAGGGGGACATCTGTAATACTTTCAGCAATAAAGATAAATTAATAAAATAAAGTACAAAGATGACCTAGTCTGTATCTATGTGATGCCATATCATTGGCTAAAAGTACAAAAATTTGCTATCTTGTGGCTTGCTTATAAGGACACCAAACAACTGTTTTGAACAATCATCCTTAGAAATTTGAGGGATCCTTGCAATTCTTAACCAAATTGATTGTTTTCAGTTAAATATTTGTGTCCAGCATTGTTAATATCTCTGCTAGTCACTTTTTTCATTAGAACATGAATCGCAAAATCTTTGCTATCAATACTCAGGAGAGAAAGAGATAAGTAAACCTAAGTGTCATCTGAATCACTTATTCAGAGAGAGAAACAGTCCACAGGATAAAGAAATAAAGAGTAGATAAAAAGGAGAATATTATAGAAAATGTGAGTGTTAGACACAATCAGCTACCTAGCTGACAACCTTCTCCCTTACTAACAAAATCCTAATTTTGTTCACAGGTTTTCAACAGCCATAGGGTCAGTTATGGTGGTTTCATTCTTATTTCTAAATTATTGGTTTAAGTATGGGTATGGGACATGATTGTGACCAAGAACATGTGGGGAGAAGTTTGCTTGAAGAGCTTCTATGAGAGGGGCATTCCCAACTTTTGCCTGTAGGCAGGTCTAGCTGTATGTCATGTCTGGAACTATGGCAGCTATCTTGTGAACATGAGAACAACCAGATCATAAGGTCAAGCTAGCATGCTATGACTTGTAAAGTGGAAAGATTAAAAGAAACGGGTTCGTTGACAACATCATTGAGCCGAATAACTGACACTGGAGCTCCCATAGCTTCAAAAAAATTTTTTTTAATCCTCACCCTATGATATTTTTTCCATTGCTTTTCAGAGAGAGTAGGAGACAGAGAGAGAGAAAAAAAAAAAATCAATGTGAGAGAGACACATTGATTGATTGTCTCCCGCACATGCCCTGACCAGGGCCAGGGGTCATGTCTGCAACCAAAGTACATGGCCTTGGCTGGAATCAAACTCGGGACCCTTCAGTCCACAGGCTGACACTCTAACCACTGAGCCAAATTAGCTAGGATAAATTTTGAAAAAGAAAATTACTTGGATCATTTTGTGTTGAGGTGTCTGTTACTTGCAACCAGAAGCATTATAATTAATACAGCAGGTTAGCAAATGTTAGAACATTTAAAACTTCTTTATGTGTCTCTCTAAATAGTTCCAAAAATTACTGCCTTCTACATCTGGCCTCTGACCTATAAAAAAAACCCTCTGTATTTTTTCAAATTTAACTGGCATCTTTGGCCTTCGTCATATTCTTCATCGTTTTTGCATTTTTCCTCTTTGCTTTTGTCCTTACTCTTCATTGTTTTTTCTGTTTTCCCCTCCCCACTTCTTTTCCTTTCTCTGCCCTTAAGTGGCTACTATTTGAATATGAAATATGTTTATACATACATTCATCTATACATATATAAATATTATTTCTTATATATTAGAAGGTAGGAATTCTTTCACATGATTTCTTTCATATACGGGTAGCTCTATTAGCAAAAAAACACCTGACCTCTCTTCTCTCCCTTACTTATTTTTTTCCACAAAGGAGAAGTGACTTACTTGGATTGGTTAGTTTGGAAAGAGAACTAAGCATGTGTAGCCCAGCCCCTCCTAACATCTTTGTCTTGTGAGTGAGCTACCAATAGGGAACACACACTCTACTATGCTCCTCCAGGCTGTACATTTTACAAAAGGCATGACATCATGGGGCAGGAATATGGTGGACCAGTAATACTGGTGACTAGATGGAGAAGTCTGATTAATCCTCAGATTCATTAGTGGGAAGCTCAAATGTCTACAGACAGAAGCCACACTCTCTAATACAAGCTTTATCAATAATAAAGGTAATATCTTCTTATATACCAGCTCTCTTGTCTTATTGTTGAATTGGTTCAGAACTTGGGTGAGAAACAATACTTCTTTTTACTAGGCCCCTTTGAACAGCACTAGTATATATCACAGTTTTGTTGTCCTATTCTTAAATATATTTTATTTATTCTTCATGGCTGTATGCTGTCATTGTGGGTTGCTTGAAGGTGAAAAAAAAAATCTTCAACAATATGTTTTTGTTTTATAAAAGTTTTCTGCAAACAAAAGGTGATTTTCATTTGTGTGTGATTGCCTATGGAATAGAAGCTCTTCATTGGAAAAATATTTACCTTCATTATTTTTGAGGTTCTTGCTCATAACTTGTGAATTTGTATTTACTTGATCTGACTACAATTTCTCAGGAATTCCACCTCTAGCTCTTGCCTCTGTATAGGCTTGATAGAAGGTCTTTTCTTGGGTCTCCACTGTAATGATCAACACAGCATCATAGGCTTCCCAGAATTTGGGGTTGTTCTTCAGGACCTGGTAAAGGATATGCTTATAAGGTACACTGTAGAGCAGGGCATCATAGGCAACAAAGACATAGGTTCCATCAATCATTTTCAGATCATGAGCCCATTCCAAGAGATGTGTCCGAGTCTCTCCCCCATCAAGGCCGAATGCATACACATGATGATTACTGAAACCAACAAAGCAAAAAGGTTGTGGCAACAATATGTTAGTAAATATAGTACCCAAAACTACAGATTGATAGAAGTAAATAAATGTGTTATAACCAATTTGTAAATAATTTCTATCTTATGCCTGCAAGATGAGCAAGATTAGAAGCCCAGATCTGAGGCTGAGGTATGTTCAGGGACTGTGGATTAAGCACAGGGACAAGACAGATATATCTACAGCCACAGAACCTAAAGTTGACAGGAACAACAAAAAATATAAGAGGAGGCAGCATAATGAAGAGGCTTTAGGGTTGAAAGACCTAGGTTTATATCCTAGTGTCATCAATTATTAGTTGTACACCATTAGGTAAATTATTAACCTCTATCTGTCTCATTCCCAAAATAAAGATAATAAATATGTGCTTCATGGGGTGACTGAAGGAGCAATTCATATAATGGGTTAGCACATACCACTCGATAAATAGTAGTTATTATTATACCGAAGATAAGAAGTCTAAAAGGAGAGGATGGGACATATTCCAATAGCCATTGTCATTTTTTATTGCCAAACTCCTAAATACATTCTAATAGATTTTAACCAACTATTCCCACCCTTACCAAGGACATTATAGACAATGAATGGCACTAACTTACACTCACCTATAAATGCTACTAACTTTTAAAAATATAACTTCCCTATAATTGGAATTACTTTGCATTAAATTTCATTCTTCCTAGACTTGTGAAACTATGTTGTTTAGCAAGGCTATGCTAAAATATAGTGGATTAGAAGAAGCAACGGGTTGAAGAATGACAACTAGATCATGAGATTGAAAGTCATATCCAATTTTGCCCTTGGCATGCTAAATGAGTTTAGTGTAAGTCCACTGTGCATCAGTGCCCACACCTTTAAAATGTAGATTCCAATGCGTTTCACAGGTACATTGAATAGTTTAATTAGATAATGCCTGGAAAGTATTCTGAACTCCTTGAAGAAAGGAAAAGGTCCTATTGCCACTGGTAAATATTAATTATATATGCTTAAATGGGAGCCTTTAATCCCAGGAAGTGACTAAATTAACTAATTTCAATGACTAGTTTACACATTGCTTCACCTATTTTCAAAAAACTTCTTTGCACTTGTTAAATACCCCTAGAAAGTTTCCCTTTTGAGCTAAAGCTAGTACCCTTCATTTTTTAAGGCATAACTAGCAAGTTATGAAGTTGATTTAAATACACCACACCCACATAAACCATAACTTGAGTTTCCAAATGACCATTGCTCCTTCAATATAATTACCCTAAGAGGTTCTACATGTATTATGATGCTCAAATCTTCCTTCAAATACTCTGGGGATATCCTTGGAGCCAGTTCCTGAGCCACACAAGGGATTCAGCCTCCTTTGTGCATAATCACATATTGTATAATGAGAAAATGGAGTGCCAAAGAGGTTTGATAAAGCAAAGGTTGGATTTAGAAAGAGAAACTAAAACCAAAGGCCTACGACTCCCTACACTTATCTGCACTATTAAACATGAATCAGTTTGGTCAAATTAGTTCAGTAACACGTCCATTGATGGGAAAAAAATGAGTTAAGTCAAGTGCTTCAGTTAGTTGGTCAGTTCGTCCAACAGTATCCTTGGCAAATATGTCAGTATTGGCAACTTTCTTCTACAAAAACAGAAATTAGATGATTCCACCAACATTACCCAATAGAGATAGAATTCCATTTAACTTAATTAAAGAAATATTAAAATCACTTCACTGGATGGTAAATGCTAAATAGAACTAAGTGCTTTGTGTTGGTTGAAATACATCAAATAATTTTAATATATAGTACATGTAGTGGGTGCTGTGGTGTGCCACCCAGATGGAATTCATCCTACTGACTGCTGGGGGTGTTAGGAGATGATTGCTGATGCCTCTCTGGGAATTGTCCTCAGCCAAAGAAAGTCACATTTTCCAAGGTCACATCCCATCATTAGTATGCTAGAGTAAACTTGTGTTGGTTCACAAGAACTTATGGTTGAATTTTCAGGGATTTTGTGAGCAAGTTAATGCCATATTTATAAAATGAAATTAGGCATGGTGGCAGTGATTATAGCATTAAAATAAGCAAATGCTAAAAACCAGGGCTTCCTCCTCCACCCCCACCCCTGGAAGAGCTGACTGTTAAACAATTATTATTACACTGCACCCCTTTTTCTGCATCAGCCTGTACCCAATGACTAGTCAACATGAAGATATAAAGGCCAAGAATCCTTTCCTCAATTCTGGATAACTCTGAAGGGCCACCCCAGTTTGAGAGCTCCTGTTGGAATTAGCTAAGGCCTTTGTTGCAACTGTATGACTGGTCCATTTTTTTCTTTTTGCCCAGTTCTATCGCCTTCTCTCCCTCACAGGTAATGTCCTCGAAAGCATTTCCCCAATAAGCTTCCTGCACACAAATCTTCATTTTATAGACTTTTTTTCAGGGCATTGACTTGTGACACTGGTTTAGAGCCTCATTGTACTCTGAACTGACTTCTGTTATGGCACATATAAATAAGATGTTTTGTCCCTATTTATTTTTGTCAGCCTCCACTATGAAACCGTGAGCTCTTGTGACTGTGTTACCTATCCTGTACATATTATCTCGGTACATATCATGCACAGGATAAATGTTGTTTAGATGAATGTTTAAAAATTTCAGAAAGAGAGGTTGTACACTTGGGTGTCTTTTGTTGGTTTCTTAAAAGACATGGGCATATTTGAGTTGTTAGTATGGAGCAACAATTTGAAGAGACGTTTGCTGGGCAGGTAGATACTACCATGGCTGTTTTTAATATTTAGTATCATTAAATATGCTCAAGATTTTATCCTCAATCTGAATCTCTCCTTTTAATTTTCGCTTCATTGGCCTACACTGAGGACAGTTCAAACAAAAAGTCAGAAGTTTTATAATTGGAGAGACCCTTTGAGACCATCTAGCTCCTCTCCCACCCTATTATTTTATAGATAAAGAAATGGAAGCCTCAAAAAAAAAAAAAAAAAGAAAAAAAGAAATGGAAGCCTCGAGAGGGAATGATCACAGGCTTCTCTATTTTTTGCATGGCAAGACCCTGCTATTGAACACAATTAAAGTAAAAAGCTTAAATACTGAATTTAAACAACAGCATCTTAATTTAATAGATTGAGTACTTCATAAACAAGGATTTGTGGATACATCTGGTCTACATGATAATTTTACTAAATAGTTTTATTATCTCAAAATTACATTCATTAAAATGGGATTTTACTTGTAAGTTGTTGTCAGGAAAAGATTAGTGGACAGAAATGTTAAATCCTAGACAAGGCTTGGGTCAGCAGGTAATCGTTGAATAATACCAATTTGTAAGTTTCCATTCTGATTATTAACAGTCAAGCCACTCCATAACCAAAACAAAGACTAGGAGATATATTCTCCTGAAATCCCATCTCACCAAGATATAATATTAGCACTTTCTCTAAGTTACCTGAGCCCCACTCAAGCTGCCTAGCAGATGTATATCTTTATACTGTGGTACCCACTATGGCAGGCTATCCAGGACCCTCTCTTTCACCCTCAACACTAGCATCAGAAAATACCTTGAAACTCTAGGAAAAACCAATCACCAAGTCAATTAACTCTTACTTCTCTTCCTATATTGAAATACTCCATCCAATATTTCCTTGAGACAGAGGAACTATGTTTCTCAGAAGTCAAAGTTCACTTTTTAAAATTTCTCTCAGATTACTGGTTATGTAGTCCTTAGTGGGGGAAACTGGACCCACCTAGAGAGATGGAAATGGTTTTGCTAGCATTTGCTGAAGAAGCCCTTAAGAGTCATATTCATGTTGTGAGCCTATAATATTGCTCTGAACCCACAGAAACCCCCATTATATTGCCCTTGCTCTTCATTTTAACCATTTTTTGACATTTCCTACCACTAACATATATTTTAACCTATTTTATTTTAACAAGTGTTGAGAGAGAGGGGAGGGGAGGCAGGTCAGGGGAAGAGGAGGCATGCAGTGTGATTTACCACAAGTCTCACACTTCTCCAGGACTTGCCCCATCTGGATATACTGTCAAAGAAATAGATTCATATCCTCTTCCTCTCAGTTTTCCCCCACCCAGTCTATAATATGGATATATAAAAAGAGGGTAGGACCGTCTAGAATCTGCATGTTTCCCAGCACACACCCCTCCCAAGTGATTCAGTACAGGAGGTGCTCAAAGCATACTGTAAGAACATTGCATTAGGCAATGTGTGGCTGTTTCTATTGGCTGAAGACATCCCACATATTTCACTTTAAGTCCTGAGACCACTTAGGTGCCACTAATGAGTAACTGGTCCAAGAAGCTCAGAATGATGTCAGACATATTACAGCCAATGGCCATTCCAGGTGCATCAGATCATGTTTTTTTCATACCTAATATAACTGGTAATGCAAGTGCATTTATTGCCTTCACAGTGCTGCCCAGCTTGAGATAAGTTTTTAATATTTCTCCACACCTTGCAAGATATGTTTTCTTCAACTTTCCTAAACTGCTATATATACAAATAAGGCTTCTTAAATGCAGGAGACCTAGATGTTTAGAGATTTTCTCTTGTGCTAGGTCTTCAATAATTGTATCATTACTGATAGTGGTCCCACTTATGAGAGTAAGTTTTCCTTCTACATTTAATTCATTTACATTTATCTATATCAAATCTTATACCAATTCCCTATCCGGACTAAGGCTCTTGGCCAAAAGCTTTATCAGTATTATTATTGTTATTACTGTTAGGAAAACAGGGCTTGGTACCCTGAGGCACTTTTTAAAATTTCATAAATGGATCCAGAAATTAAGGAAGAAAAATGGAAGGGCTGATTTATATACCATATACAGAACACAAGATCTCAAATGAGTATGCTGTAGGGGCATACCTCAAGTGGACAGGAGGCAGTAGAGCATAAGTCTTTCATTAAGCCAGTGGTTTTCAAAGTGTGGACCCTGGACCAGCAGCAGCAACA